GAAATCCAACCGGACACCAAACCCCCACCCCCTCCGCCTTTTCTCCCACCAAGATGAAGCCCACCCCCACGCCATTTCCGCCCGAACGTCACAATCAATAAATCACGCATGCCACGTCATAGATGACGTTGCCACGTTAGAGGTGACGTGGTGAAACGTTTGCATCCCAGGTTACCTCGGGTGACCGGGGTGTCCGATGGAGGCTTTCTTGGCGCTCGAGTCGGCCACTAGATGGACCGGCCCCTCCCCTTGCTGCCTTGTCCGGATGGTCATTGGGGTCCTTGTGTTCACTCGAAAGGAAGTAACCATCTACATGGCGCACCAGGAAGCATTTGCTGCCGGTGACATTCAGGTACGAGTGACACGGAGATGGTCGGAGGAAAAGCATGAGGGATTGGAGGGAAAAAGACGCCAGCATCGATTCACCCCCGATCTTCACGCAAATAATTCACACTGGTTGTTTCGGGACCGATGCACGGGGTCTGGTCGTGCATGCTGGCAACAAGTGATACAACGTGTTGACCGGGAAGAAGATATGATGAACTGCAACTGGGCACCTGTACTTGACAGCATGGTCACGTAATTATGCGGCCATGCCATCAAGTGCAGGAGGTCCATACAAGTAACGAGCAGCGACCTATACAGTTAACGAGCCTTTCCGGAATGTGTGCACGCGGCGCTCCACCATGTACAGGTTAGGGCCTGTTACCTGTAATCTGATTTTTTGATGTAAAGTACCCGCCGGACTGACCGTCCACTTCCGGGGCATTCAGCAGGTAGCCGGAGTTGTCTGGCTTCTGGCCAACTGCCAGAGGGAAGCCAGACAGAGAGAGGGGGGAGAAATTTAGTGGCGGAAGTGCATCGCGCTGCTTCTCCCCCTGCACCCCGATGATTTATGATGTTTTGCAGCCACGGAAGCGTACATCCCTCCTGTGTCACCTGCTCGCCTGTTCTTTCTGCGGTACACGTTGCGCTACGTTAACACAACGCGCACTATAAATGCTCGCAGCTGTTCTCTCCTCGATTCCCATTATATTTTTTGTTCGCTGTTTCGGGGAATTGTTTCCTGGATTTGTTGGCTTGATGGTTGAGCGGTTGGTCACCCTCTCCGCGAGTCTTCCGTCCTACGCTGAGATTGGGGTTGCCGCTGGTTTTCGCGCCCTCCACGCTTTCGGTTTTTCCAGACGAGCTGATCGGAATAATCAGTGCTAAGCGAAATGTTGCTGGTTCTGCTGATGGTTTCATAAAGTCTTGAAAGTTTCATGATTGGGCACGGATATAGGCGGATTCATGGGAGGGAGGGGGTGGAGAAGGAGGGAGAGGGGGTGATAGCGATGGGGAGGAGTGTGCTCCCTCCCCCCCACCTTCCCTTACCCTGTAACAAAGCAAGAGCTAGGAATAGAGTTGTAACACACTGCTACTTAGACTTACCACCAACCTTCATTACTATCTCTCGCACTTGCGCATTCTGCCATCTGCACTTCCAGGGTTGGCCTGAAAGCTGCAATCTGTTTATTTTAAGCTCTAGTTTGCTTTAGTTTTAGCTTCTGCAGCACTGGTGTCTGTGCCGCTGGCAGAGGGGAGGGGGACTTGCTCTTCTTGGACCCGCCTATGGACGGGCAGGAGGAGTTGTTAAGCGGTTGCGTTTGCGAGATGTAGCAGTGGGGCGATACATCACGGCGCAGTGATGATTTCAGGATGGCTGCGATGCGCTCACTACGAAACTTGGGATTTGGCCTGCAGAAGTATTCGCAGCGCAGTGGTTAGTAAATAATATGATGCATTGAAGTGATTGATGATAACTCTCAGTTCTCTCTCGACTGGCGCTTTCCGTGATTTTCAGATGTGCTGCGTTTCTACACCAATACACGCAGTGCATTACGCATCACTAAAAACACCAAGGTCATAATCCAAGGATTCACAGGTAAACAGGTAATTGGGACGACCGCATGGTTTTTATTTTTTTTTTTAATTTTGAATTTTTTTCAAGAAATTTTAACGTCAGATTTTTATTATTATTTGAATACTTGAGCAGCAGCTGTGTATGTCATCGACGTTCGTTGTTGTCACGCCATCGACGCAGCACTGGCAACTTCTCCATTCAACTCGTTGTTGCACTCTCCGAGTCCACGTGGTACCGCACAGGCATCTCCACCTTACTGGTGGCCTCCCCAGTGTTCGCTTGACCGTGCACGGGTACCATTCCATTATCCGCTTCGTCCATCTGTTATCTGTCATCCGCTTCTTCCATCTATTATCTGTTCAGGTGTTTATTATTAGATATAAATGAGGATAAGAAAATAGCGTGTTATTGTTATTATTTGTTGTTTAAATGTTTTATCGGAATTTCAATTCAGGGCACATTCCATGGTCAACAGATGATCGACTACAATACCAATGTTGTTGGTGGTGTATCTCCGGGTAAGGCCGGCACGAAGCATCTCGGCAGACCTGTTTTTGCTACTGTTAAAGAAGTGAGACTTACTTTTATAAGACTGAACATTTCGATCGCGTGGAACTACTGTAGTAGTTCGCTTTGTACAGATATCAACACCACAACCATCGTATTGGCAAGGTGCAGTTGTGGTGCTGAATAAAAATGTGTACGACTTAATGGACCGAAACACTCCTCTTCCACTGGTTTTTGATATAACTGATTCTAATATTTATGTAGTGATTTAATTTCTAACATACATTCATCTAATTTCTAATTAGTTATTTTTTTAATTAATGTATTTATTATCATTAGTTACTGTTGAATTTCATATTTGTACTTTATGTACTTCTGCTAATATTTTTATTGCACGCAAGTGACGCCTGTTAACACTGTACTAATAAATTATCGCTCAGCGGCTTTCCTTAAATACTACTTACCGCGCCGATTAAAACCCCTCTGTGTATATGATCGCGGAACATAATAAAAAAGAGTCTTATAAAGACTTTTATGCTTATACTTGTATGCTCATGCTGACTTTTATGCTTTCCATACTTCAGTTTCAACATTCTTTAATCAACCAACACACATTCTGTGCCATTTTTGGTACATTAGCATTGCCAGCTTCTTCGTTTGTGTGCCACCATCAGCACTCTTTATACATTCATACGTTGGTTCCTCCACATTTATAAGCTTTCTGGTTTTTTATGCGTTTTGTACTGTGCAACAGCTGCACAAAACCCATATTGTCACGGGGTTGTCTGTGTGTATTTGTGTGCATATATGGGTATGTGTGTGTCTGTGTGTGTATATCTCCGATGCATCTTGTTACAACGTTTTCCGGTGCTAGAGTCGTATTTAGATTTGTACCATTTGTTGAAGAGTTGCAGGCCCGTGAAGCAACAGGTGCAGACGCATCGGTGATTTACGTGCCGGCTCGCTTCGCAGCGCAAGCGATCGAGGAAGCGATGGAAGCAGAAATGCCATTGGTTGTGTGTGTAACGGAGGGCATTCCGCAGCTCGATATGGTTAAAGTGCGAAACAAACTGATGAAGCAAGACAAAACACGCCTTCTTGGCCCGAATTGTCCTGGAATAATTGCTGTATGCTCTTCGGGCTGTTTTTTGGCAGCGAATTTGACGGAACTTTTCTTGATAAGCATAAAAACAGCCTTTAATTTTCCCTTCCACGGAGACTTTGTAGGCTTTGTTGAAGAGGAGGCTTTGTTTTTTTCCTTTCGATTTAAATTCGTTGCTAAAATGATGCTGTCGGGCCCTTGTCCTCAAACAACAGGGAGTCCTTGAAGAATGAACGCCGTAGCCAAAATGCACTGTTTCTTGGGACACGTAAAATGAAATACGAAACGGGCTTTCTGATTTTTTGAAAATTTTTTTGCAGCCAGAAGAATGTAAAATAGGAATTATGCCAGGACATATACATCAGAAAGGTGTAATTGGTATTGTTTCACGTTCCGGCACACTAACTTATGAAGCAGTTCACCAGACCACGGTCGTTGGACTTGGGCAAACGCTTTGTGTGGGAATTGGTGGTGATCCATTTAACGGCACAAACTTCATCGATTGTTTGGATATATTTTTGAAAGATCCGCAGACTAAAGGTTACTTTTTGCCGCTTTTTATTGAACAACTCAGGGCTCTTTGTGGTTTCTTGTAAAAGTTTTTGTGTAGACTGCGTATCTAGTACTCTTTTTTGCTAATCACCGGGCACATCTTTTGCATCCATTCACTTTTGGTTTTTCGAGCAGCTTTAAAAGACTCCTAAATTTTGTCAGGTCGCCATTGCTTAGCCATTTGAATCACTTTTTTTTATTGTCTCCTTTTAATCGGCTTTCACCTGCCTCGAAATAACATTTCCCAGTCTGGAGATTTGACCGATGAGTTTCTTAGTTCACCAGATTGATTAATCCCGTCCTCATACGATTTCGAATTTTGTAGCTGCTTGCGCTTCTTTCCTTTATCATAATGCTGCGTTTAAGGAAATAGAAATTCCCTTTTGTTCATCAGTTGGTGTTTTCATGTAAAGCAGGTATCCCTGTGGACAGGGCAAGTATTGCTCTGTTGGCCTTTCTTGTCCTGGCTAACTGTTAATGTGGTACAAATCGTCATACGGTTTGTACCACTGTAGCAGTCCTACTGTCTTCCCCATCATAATTCATTAACTAATTCCACCCCACTTTAAAATTTAATGATTTCGGCCGTCCCGTATTTTCCACGGTCCAGACTGGCCGTTACTACAGAAATTATGATTCGGCCTACCAAAGACCGCAAAAAATTTTTTATCAGTTTAACCCACTTCGGTTGTCCCACTTGGACCGTCCACTTTGGTTTGGCCTTCAAATGGTCGTTACTTGTCATTCCATTTATTGGGTGTTGCATGCCTATATCTTTATTCCCAGTGTGAGTCATACCATCACTTTCTTTGCCACGCAAGAACAGGACTTTCAGAGGTGTTTGTTCCCAGCTGTGCAGTCTTAGAATGAGATTGAGCTACAAATTCCGAGATTTCGAGGTTTAGTTTCCTGTCTAGTGGAAACTGATTGGCCTAAAATCCGCTTTTAAACATAACTTTTGACACAAATATACTTTTCTGTATATCATTAGCTCCAGAACGGAGCAAGCCATGACTTTTCGTGCAATATAGGCTAATAAAATAAATGGCAACGCGCACCAGACTAGCCGGTGCGATCATTGTTTTGTGCAATTCAGCCCATCGAACGATTGCCTATTAATGATTTTCACTGCTTTGTACTTTTGTCTATGCAAAAATAGTTCAAACATTGGAAAACAGTTAAAAATTTCACGCACCAGCGTATGAAAGCTAAATAGCAAAATACAAACATTGGAAAACAGTTACGCACCAGCGCATGAAAGCTGAATTCGAAACCTTGAAGGGTGAATATCTTTCCGTGATTCCCGAGATAATAATTTACCCGTAAAAACTTTCACTAGCCCGTAGGTGATATCCGAGAGCGTGGAAACGCTGAATTTGAATAGGCAAGGTTGAGCGTGGACAGGGGATCATTACCCTAAAATTTCAGCCTCCTAGACTCCGTGATTCCCGAGATATGAATTTACCCGTAAAAAACTTTCATACGTGTTGCCCACGGGTACGGGGAAGATGGATTTAAATTTGCCGCGTCACCCACTGGCGGGGGACACTATGCCAAAATTTCAGCCGCCTATCTTTTGTGGTTCCCGAGTTGAAAGTGCGACGCATAATAAT